CCACTAACATACCCTGAAGTGAATCCATGTCTCACCATGGCTGCCAGATTCAAAGTGACATGCACATGTGAGCATGCAGCTCCAACTTTAAAAGGACAACGTTTGATGCCTGCAGTCTGAGCCATCTGAGTCCACATGAATTCTAAGAACATAATGTAGCAAAATATAAAGGTGATGAAATGACTCATATCAGCTGGACTATTGTCTGAAGTTGTTTTTGCTGTACCGATCGACAAAGGCTTCTTTGTGAGTTGAAACACTTCAAACCAAAGGGGCCACCAACCAACAATAGCAAACTACTTTTATCCATTCACAAATCAGTCTTCAAAATCAATAACTTCTCTCCAGAGACAGCGACATCTGTGAGGCTGAGGCGGGATCGTTAAAACTCAAATCTTGGCAGCAGCTTTGCATCACACTGAGAAGGAGTCCACACTGATATATGCAACTCCCTCAGTTCTTAGGAGATTTAAATTCATTTTGTCTCACCTTCGACTCTAATACTGACATGACGACTCAAACCTTATCACAGGTAACTTCATCCCTTTGCAAAGCTGTAAAAATACTCCATAGAAGCTTTGTTGTGAACGTGCTATGCCACAGTTTAGCAAAGACTAAACTATAACGGATAAGCTGGAAGCCCCTTATCAAACAAGTGAGCACATCTATTATGACTAGTGTGGAAAGATACTGAGTGAAAACAATATGCTCTCGCTCTTTCCAAAAAAAGACCAGCTAATCCATCATTAAAAAGATCCGGTCACTTTTAAAAACTAAGAATAGAAACATTTGAACAGCTACCTTGTGAAACTCTCCCTGCACAGAAATATTTAATGACAAAACGGATATGCGATGAAATGCAACGGAGACACTATTTTTGGGGTGGTTGAAGAACGCAGTTAAAGAGTTGGAAAAGGTGTCAAGAATCTTGCAAAACCTACTGAAGCCAAATATGTCTTCTTTGCAGCAATAATACGATATTTCGATTGGGAAAGTAAACAGGTCTTGTAGCTTCTTATAAGTGTTGATCGGTGTATAAAAAGTGTAATTTCTCTAAAAGGTTTCTCCAAACGATTTTCATATCACTTAAATGAGGCAAAAAATGAGACATTTTAAATGTGCTTGTCATAAGGGTTTTACTCACACCATCCATTTTCATTAGTGAAGTACTTCCCTCTGCTAAAATCATGATAAATGCTGCATTTACACCACAGCCATATTATTTTAGTGATATTACAAAAACTAACCAGATACCAAAATAAGTTAAGTAGTGGCGTGAAAGCAACACAAACACATATGGAGCATCAGTGCAGTGGTAGATAAGAGTTCTCAGTGAGCACAAATCATCAGTTCACTCTTCACATTCAAATCGGTGCCAATTTGTTTGCAGCTTTTATTAGCAGCAGGAATCCTTATGTTGTATGATGCTGTTAAAAAAAAAAAAAAAACTCTAACCTGGCTGCATGTTAGATCTGAGCTATATCACGTATTACATTTTGATTTAATGACATTTCCGCACAAGTTTATGACACAAGTGGTCCACATGATTTTTACACTTCTAACTACATTCCTATGAATTGATGATTTTAAATGCTTTTGGGCTGTTTCTTCAAAAGAAGTTAATCAACCACCCCCACCCAGATATCTCAGAAGTAATAGAAGCATTGGTGAATGGATTGATTTTGTTAATGCAGAGAATATAGCTGGGGTGTAACAATATAAACTACAACGCCTCTCTTGCTGGTAATTGTGGGTGTATTAAGCAGGCTAATAGACATGAAAAGAAAGTTAAGAGAATAACCTTGTTCTTCCTCGCTGCACCAAGCTGCTGCTGACACTATACTTTTAAGCATTGCTGGATCATCTACTTTGTTGTCCCCCCTGACACAATAAAGTGCTCTTTTCTTTGCTTTTTGCTTTATTGTCCAGAATGGGATAGTGTCAAGACACCGTGTAGAAAACAGCAGATCCAAGTCACATGCAATTGAGAAGGCTAAGTCAGAGTCCCCCAAAAAAAAAAAAAAACACATTATGTTCCCTGAGAGAAAATAGACACTTGGCCAAAAAACTGGTGAGAGTGTTTGCTGTCAGGTCAATGCAGTTCCACATTGCAGCATAACATAAACCCTGTGGTTAGGGGAGTTAAAATTGATGTGGTAGACGAGAGAGCGCTACGACTATTGATTGTTCTGTGTTGTTTCTATTGCCTCATCTCTCATCTCTTTAACAGTATCAAACATCTGAACTGGAGCTGGAGCGAGAGAAAAGCCTGAGAGGAAAGGAGAGGCAGTCCTGTTCCAGCTAGCGGGGGTACCATGGCTACCTCAAAGCTCGGCTTCAGAACAACAACAGGGGGCTCCATGGTGTTCAGCCAATATCACTGCTTGCTCTCCCAGGAGACGGGGAACACAATGCACTCCCTACTGCCATTAACTCCCCCTTAAATTACAGCTTTTTCTTAGCCCCTGTAGCAGAAACAGGAATTTACACTGCAAATAGAAATACAGCTACAGAGCCAAGAACCTTTAGATGATTACATACAAGTGGCTCAAACTCTTAGAATGATGTATGATCAAATGAGAAATCAGAAAACGGCTTTACACAAGCTAAAGATAATTGTAGTTTAGGATCAGATAGTTCAAACTTCCCTACAGTTGCTCAATAAGTGACAAATTAGTTTGACACAAAACTGTGTCAACTGTGTTGTCTTTAAATCCCTTTACTTTCCAATATGAAACAGAAATATCACCTACTGTATGTTTTTTTCTGGAGGGTAAAATGACCAAATAACTGATGTAATATGTCTAGTTTATTACTGAAGCATCTAGTATAGCATCATAATCCCGAATGTTGATCTGGTCTGTAAATTACCCTACAGGTTAAACAAATGATGATCTCAAGCAGAAGGCAGAAGGCAGAAAGTGATACACATATGCAGCCAAATCCCAGAGGAAAAAAAAAAATGAATCTGTCCACTTGGCAGCCTGGAAACAAAGCTTATTCCTTGTCAGTTTATCACGCATTGACGGCTGCATCCTGACTAGCAGGTGTCTTGCATGCACATGGAAACCTCTGAAAATGATCCAAAATGCAGCAGCACAACTGGTCTGGTCTACCTACTCAAACAGCACACATCACACCACAGCTCATAAATCCACTGGTTGAAATTGAAGCTCACATCAAATTCAAAACAAACAAAGGGACAGATTGAACTACTGCTGTAGCCACTTGGTGATATAAGTCAATCATAAAAAAAAAAAGAATAATTCTAAAAGATTTTAACAGTCGAGTTTTAAATTCTGTTTACCTTTTTGTGACAAATACACAAGAGTTAGTTTCACCTGCACAAATGCAAGACTGTGCTTCTTTTACAACATTACACAATAAAAACTTATATTTCAAAGTAAAAGACTCCCTTTCTGACAAGCTATACAATATAAAGGTGTTTCTATGGATTCAAAGAATGTTGCTGGCATTGTATGATTATTTTGTTTTTACAATTTATCGACTAAATGAGAGATAAAAAAAAAAAACGACACAAAATTGAAGTTTTAATTTATTATGAAACTGCTTATTTTGTTTAGATATTTGTGTTGCATTGCATTTTGATTTACTTTTATATAGGCACTCAACTTCCTTTAAACTCAAAACTCAAAATCCAAAAGACCCAACACACTTCAATGCTTAGGAATATATTTCCATTAAATATTACTCCCTTCATAATCAGCTTCTTCCTTTGCAGACTGTCCCTTCCTCTGGCTAATAAACAGACATGCCAGTGAACATATTTGGGGGAGGGGGGGGGACAGACAGATCCACACTGCCCTGACACACAGACAGACCGAGCATGCCTCCTTGCCAATCAAAGGTTCAGATTCTATATTTACAGCCACTCTGCGACCCCCCCCCAGCAGCAGCCCCTGGGACTCCACATATCCAGTTACAGGAAGAGAATGTGGCAAACACCGGGGTCACAAAAGCCTTGGTCTGACTCCTGCTGCCCTGTACTGCTGAATACAGAGTGTGCATTTAGCCTGGACGACGCATGTCTGCAAACAAGACGAACAATGTTGATCATGTACAAATGTAAAAAAAAAAAAAAAGGATTAGTTAAAACATTGGAATACACTATGACATTAAAGTAAGCACCCTGCAGAGTGTCCAGCAAAAGCAAGACATTCACCACGGGAATGAACATGAGCTACACTGACACTGAACATTGTGTGAAGCTTGAAATCAGCTGGTCAGGTTACTTACACAAACTGTGTCCTCTGGCTTTAAGAGCTTTAAGACTGTGAAGTATGGTTACACTTTCTGGGGCGGAGGGGAGTGAAGCTTGAGTATAAAAGAGTAACATGACTTGGCTATTCCGAGAAATGTAGTTTTTTATTATTTTGAACAGTGTCAATAAAACAAAAGACGCGATATTATCAGACATGTAAAAGAGCGAAGAAAAAAAACACGAAGAGAGGAGGAGACTGATGTTTGGGGAGTGGGTGAGGGGACCGTCGGGGTTCTTGCTCAGCAGCAGGTCGTTATAATGCAGGTGTGCGACTGTTAATGTTAGGAGCATTAAAGTGGCCGGTTTCAGTTAGCCTAGCCTAGCCTAGCAAGCACTAGCATGCCTCTTTGCCCGACCAGGCTCGCACAAAGTCAGGCAGCTTGGAGGCTTTCAGCACCGGGCTCGCTGGATAGCAAGTGTGTTGTGTGGGGGGGGGAGATATCATCAACACTGAGAGCTAAGCAAAATAAACGAACGCACAACGGAAGCACAAGTTGTATATTGAGCTGGAAATCATGTAGGTGCAGGGATTTCTTTTTTTTATTTACCCCGCTAACAACAAGCTGAAGCACAATGATGAATGAAAAGGCGGAACCTCGCCTTAGCTAATGTTAGCAGTGAAGCGGGTCAGTCAGTCAGTCAGTGTGATGCTACCGGGATGCTAGCAAATCAAAAACATCCAGTTGATAAAACACAAAGCGTTTCAGTATCTGCTCACCTTAACCGTTTTGATTTGACACCTCTTGCAGGTCCACAAACTGTGTTTAGCGCCTTGGTTTCTTGGAGTATTCCCACACACACACACACACACACGCACACACACTCTCACACACAAAAAAAAATGGTACCCTCCTGTTCACGGCGAGGAGTGAAAAAAATCGACTCAATCCGGGACGCTTTCCTCAACCGTGTGGTGCTGAATCTGAGGCTACACGCTTTCTGTCGGTGTCTCGGAAATGCCTCCTCCTCCTCCTCGTATAGTGTCCCTGCGAAATAATGACCCCCTCCCAGAAGCTCCGACCACCAACAACAACGAAGGAGGGAAGGTGCAGATGATGGGGCTGCGCTAGTAACGGGAAGCCTTGCAATATAGTGGGCTGCTGCTGCTTGCTGCTGCTCTTCCTCTTGCTCTTGCTTGCTGCTGCTGCTGCTGCGCGGTGGATGGATGGTGGATTCCAGGGCTGTCAAATCAGGGAGAGCCTTTCGCTGTTTTGGCGCATGCGTGTTAAGGCCCCATGTGAGGGATGCGCGGCTGCCAGAGAGCGCATAGTAGGGAGGATTTCTGAGCTTTGCCATATTGTGGGAGCGGAAGCACGCCGGTTCCAGCTGTCGTGATGTAGACAGGAGGGGTTGAAGAAGTAGAGCAGCCCAAATCCGTCACTTAAGCTGAAGTATTTAAAAAAAAAAAAAAGAAATTACCCCCTGTAAAGTCGTGGTTGAAATATTCAGTAACGGTAAACAGTATCAGCACAACTTACTTAGAAATAGAATATTGGAACAAAACTACAAAGTATAAAGAAGAGCCCCTTTAAAAAGTGTTATATCATATTATATTAGTATTACACAGCAGTACCATGGCATTCTGTTTCAATTATTTATAGGACTTTTCTTTTAAGAGAATTTGATGCAGTGCATCAATGTGGAGTAAAGTTTAGACAGGCATTATACTACAGTGTTATATTGTACTATCCTACTACAATGTCAAATAATCATAACAAAAAAATCATTACAAAATGGAACTAAATACACTTAGTTGAGTGAAAAGTAAAGTAATGCAAAATAAATGCAAAGAGATTCTAAGATTTACTTTTATTGATCCCCGCAAGGGGAAATTTCCATTTTTACACTCTGTAAGTCACGCAACACACACATAGGCTGAAATATACACACATGCACAAACAGGATCCTTGGACATGCACTAATGGAGAGATGTCAGAGTGACGGAGCTGCCCACAGTGGGCGCTCCTGAGCTGATGGTGTAGCTCAGGAGTCTATACTATACTATACTACTATACTAAGACTTAGGCTATGTCTTAGTATAGGCTAAGACAAGAGCAAAGATTATTGATGGCTGGGGAAAATATCTTCTTAAATATTCTTATTCTATTTTATAAAAGTATCATCTCATTGTTGAGCTTATTAGCCTTCATTTTTACTTTTTTTTTTCAATGTCACTGCCTTTATTTAATATTGGCTGCATCAGGCAGATGTTCAATGAAAAATAGAGTGAGGTCGTAACAAACGAGCTTTTCTGCTTTTAGAATGAAATCAATTTTTAAAAGAAAATGTTATAAACATGTTTTGCTTAGAAAATCTCTGTCGAAATATTATTGCAGATCTGTATTTTTAGTACTGAGGCTTTTTGTGTTGTAGTTGAGATGTTTCTCTGGTGAAGGTCAGGTTAAATCTGACTGGAGTCAAGAATCCGCTGAGGTAAAGAACATCAGAATATACTATTTTCATGTGTTCATGGTAACATTCAGAATGCAAAGATCTCAGATTGAACTACATCTTGTCATGTGACTTCTCCACGTACCATAGAATATGTGTGACTGAATGCTTATTATTTCCGAAAAGGAAAGGTTAAGGCCAGATTCAGGGAAGCTGCCAGCAGGCTTCCTTATCTGAGGTCTAAACACCTTCAAGATGGTGCTATTTGGAAAGGAGGATGACATCACCTCTGAGCTGTTTTCAGTTATCTGAACTCACCAGTCCTCACCCATCCTAGGGGCTGAGCAAAGGAGTAATATGAAGGTAACTCATGTCAGCTTCCCCTCTGCTCGGAGCTAAAATACCACAAGTAATAGTTGGTTTAATCAAGAGCTTCGTCCACAGGCTTAAATGTATCAGTATCTTAACAGTCCAGGAAAGGTCCAGCCCGCATAATCGACGATCGTCATCCACCTGTAGATCTCCAACTACATCATAACCTCCCTCTTGAAAAAATGAATTGGTTCTAAGAAGAACATCTTTGCAGGAAAACGTAACTGTCAGATATTTTGTGGATATGTCCCCCGAGCAAAAGCAACACCTGCCTTGGAGGAAAGCTTCGGCTAAAGTCACATTTCTTCTCATTGGCAGACCAGTCAGTCGCCTTTTTGTAAGACTTGCTACAATAAACTAAAATACTATGAATTTTGCCTGATGACATATGATGCTACAAAAACTGTTTAGGATGATTTTGTACGACCATGAGGCAAACTATACATGTCCATACATTACATTTGGTATTTTTAATGAAAAGTTGAACCCTATAGGTAACCCTAATCTTCATTTAATTTTGTACATAACCACAACCTCTATTTATATTTTAACTACCTAATCAAACTATTACATGCAGAGTGTACTACTTATTTATATATTTCCAAAAGCACTTAATTTCAGTAGACAGGGATATTAATCACTCATTTATCAACATGTCAACTCAAAAGACAGACTCAGAGGGAAGACACTGAAAGTTTCTTTCCAGCACAGTCAGTTGAACTTGAGGACAATTACTGAGTCTGAAATGAGCAGGTAATCGCTGAAGGGCTCGGAGAAGTTCTGACTCCCAAGGAAATTGGATTACTCTGACTTTCAGCCAGCACATTAGGTCAGTAAGGCCCTGCTGAATTAGAAGGACCTTTGGCGCTATTCCGCTGATGAACTCCACCTTAACATTAACAATCTTTTATGCACAGTCACGTTAACAATGTCCACTATCTGCAGTGCAAAACTTTAGCATCAAATATTGATGGAGGTTTGCAGGAGGAGAATAAACATCGTCAAAGATGGAGTCAGTAAACACAACATTTGATCTGGGCCCCACCTCTTGGGCTCATCACCCACGAGAAGTGCACACTCACTGCAGGACGTAGTGCGTACTGCTTGTACTGCTACCTACACTGCAAGCTACCGCACGTTAGCACAAGGTAACTACTGGTGATTGGCACCTGCCTGTCCGACAGAAGCAGGCCAACTCCACGTCCAGCGTGTAAAAGCCAACACAATGTTCACCCTTGTTATGGAACCAGCTTTTTCAGCTTGGTGCCTCTCTATGATGATACATTTTCTCTTCTTTGCCACTACGTCCATGTCCATCCTATTCGTCCGTTTGAAACACATCAAATAGCTTGAATATATCCACTCCCAAACTCACCTGCAGCTGTGATTTGGCTGGGGAAAACACACTAGCTCCCCGCCCAGAAACTTCTCGTGTCAACCAAAACTTCCAAATACAGGCAGAGGACAGGGTTTCTGGAAACACACAGTCACCACCACACATGTATGGAGGCCCATTAGGGATGATTGGGTTGCATTACTTTAGTATAAGTCTATATTTAACTTTTTATGAAAAAGCTGCAGACTCTATCTTTAACCTTGAAAAAAAAATGAAAAAGAGAATAAGTGGTACAGGCCTCTGATACAACTTAATATGTGGTACAATGTATCAGGTATTGGGAGCGTGTTTTGGGTATTGGTAAGTACGGCTTCAACCACCAATTTTCCTACCAAATGGCAATGCAGTAACATGGATATCTTTTGAAAACACTAGGATTGCAGCTGTACTTGGTATTAGCCAATACCCAAGTCTAGGTATTGGCTATGACAATATATGTGTTGGTGAATACTTTTGTAAACCTAACAGCCAGTTGTGTACATTGTCTTTAGTCTTGATATTTTTTCTCTATATCCCTCTTTGTCTTGGGAGTACAGCAAAGCAGGAACAGCAGCCCATTGTCTTCCTCTGCTTGTGTTTTGAGTGCATGGCAGGGGCCCAGCACATCGTGTTTGCAAGCTATTATTCATTTGTCAGATTGGGAAGCGTGACCACAGGGTTTCTGCTGAGTTGTATCACAGTGTATTCCAGCCTTTTCACTATCTGGTTCACTGGCCTGATCCCTCCAGAGCAAAGCTACACTGGGAATAAACCCATCTCTGGCTTTGAGAAGTTGTCAACTGCTTTATTATATATTTAGATCAAGGCAAGCAGTACAAACAAGAGCAAGATCATAAGCTTCTTTTTTGTCTGAAAAGCTGCATGGCTTCACACGGACATTTCCTTTGAGATCTGAGCACTCTTCATCGAGTGTGTACAATATACGAGGGAACAGTATAGGTTTGTGCTTATATATATATATATATATATGTCCAAGAAACAACAGCAGTGTATTGTTTTACATAAAACTCCATCTGTTTAAAACACAGATTCACATTCCTGCATGGAGTCCAGCTGGGCCCTCCCCTCCACCCAGAGGAGACGCACTCCAGGGACCGCAATCACAGAATGTCCCCACTCGTAACATAATGAGGTCATAACTACACCCAAACCCGCTGTACTTTGGGGAAGAATAATAAAGTTTTCAGTCTGTTGGCTTTTTAAAACCTTAAACTTTATCCTGTGAGTCAAAAGATGAGAATGCAGAGGACAGGAAATAGAGGTTGGGGCTGCTGCAGTATTTAAAAGCTCTCATTGGGTGTTCATATCTCAAGAGTCGATTCGTTTGGGACATCCTGTTTTAACTTGATTCCACCCAGTGTGAAATAAAGGCTATTGAAAGAGAAATAAAAACACCATTGTTGAGCCAGTATGGAAGATTATAAAGACAACTCCCAATTTAGCATGACTCTTCCCCTTCATTGATAATGATACAATTGCTCAGGTTTTTTTGTATGTTTGTATTTGTCTCTTTAAATTCAAAATAATAATAGAAGTAAAAGTTCATCTCAAGAAAGGTCATCTCTTCCTCCATTCCAATCCCACCCTAGTTCTAACAGAGATTATAGATTTAAGTTTTACAACAACACAAAAAGTAGTATAAGAAACACCACTGACAAAACTTTTACATATTCAAGCAACTGTTTAAAATCTGCAGCTGAAATAATCTAAAGTATGTGCAAAAAATAAACCGACTGTAGTTAGTTTATTTATAAAGTAAATTCTATTAAAAAAAAAATAATGAATGCATAACGACAACCTAGAAAATAGAATTAACTTAAAATCAGCAGAAAGAAACCCAATGTGATCTCCCATGATGCCAAAGTGCTAAATTCCACTAGATGCGTGGTCTCTCAGTCTCCATAGGTATTTCCTTTTTTCAATGTGCGTGCTTCCACTGGCTCTGCTGTGCTGCGTCTCAGCTCAGTCCCATCTCCGGCAGATTGGAGCCCTCTGCAGCAAGACACG